ACATTAACTTATTCACTTATTTCTATGTCACCATAAGGTGGGCATTATTATCCCTATTCACAGAAGAAATAATAGTACCTCAAAGAGATTATTTAGTTAATAAATAATAAATGAATTATTTAGCCAACAACCTTACTATATGTTAGGTTTTTACTATATGTTAGGTAGGCACTGGGTATCAGGCAGTCCATTCTAAAGAGGAGAAGTTATTTGCCCACGTCCGTCTGCTAGTGAACAGCACAGCTGAAACTTGAATTCGGATCCGATTGTAAAGCCTGGTTTGTGGAGGAAGAAAGGGGTACACATCCTTCCTCATTTCACTGTTAATTTAGGAAGTAGTAATTGGAAGGAAGGAAAGAAGGAGAAAAAAGTATGAGGGAAAAGCACATTTAAATTATATGTTGGTGACAAAGATGGCCTTTGAAGGAAGAGTTAAGGACATTGTGGCAGCCTGTGTACATGATGGCCTCCCTCGCTCCTTTTCCTCCCTGTACATACAAAGGTATTCCTCCATTGAAAGGAAGAGCCCATTCCTTCACCTCCTTGAATGTGGGCTGACTGTTTGACCCAATAGACAATGGTAGAAGAGACACTGTGCGGCTTTGAGGGGAAGTCGTAAGAACTTTCCAGCTTCATCCCAGGTCTCCTGGAATGCTTTTTCTGGGAAAAGCCACCGGCCAAGTTAGAAGTCTGGCTACCATTTTGTGAGGAAGACTAAGCTAGTCAAATTGGAGAGTTTCTTGGAGAGAGAAACAGAGAGATACCAAACTTGCCCCCAGACATTCCAGGCATCCCATCCCCGGTACTAGACATGACGAAAAAAGCCTGCAGATGACTCCAGTTTCATCTGCCTGCATCTGCGTTAGAAACCCCAAGACCTGCCTGGCTGTGCCTGTCAGCTGCCAAAACCAAGAGATACATAAACAGATTGATGTTTTAATCTACTAAGTTATGGGATGGTGATGGCTAATTGGAACAGACTTCAAAATTGTTTTGAGAGTTTGTTTTTAAATAGGGAACTCTGTCAGGAGGATC